CACCTGCAGCCAGCACTGGTGCAGCACCACTGACCAAGCTCAGAGTGGCTGCTGCTGACCCTGGGACGCTGTGGGTGCTCTCCTCCAGGGCTTCACTGCTGCTGTTGCTCCTTACTTTGTGTTGGTGGGGCCATGGCCGTGTCCTGGGCTCCCTGGCAGCCCTGGAGAGAGGCTGCTCACTGCCAGTTCCCCCTGGCTCCCCAGTGCCTCCTCTCAAGGAATGAACAAGTGGAGCATCTCCTCAGTCCTAAAAATACCAACAGCTGTCTTCACACCAATTGCAAGAAATACTCTCTGGGTTTCCCCTGCAGATTTCAGGTGCTTATGCAACATGTATAATGTTACATTTCTATGTTGTAATAATTACTGATGTCACCATTCGTTTGTCTTTGCATGTCCTGTGTGTCTTCAAAGTAAGCCCTTATTTTTAAAATGTCAAGATAAAAAAATATTGAGCAAAATGTTCCAGGCTTAATTGGGCATAATATCAGCAAAACATGCTGGTTTTCAAGTCTATCAAAATAAATGGAAGTGTAAAGCTTGAACATGTATCAAGTAAGAGTTTTCTGTGTTAAAACAGGCAAATATTGGTAACTTAGAAGAAACCTTAACATCTCCATCCCACTTCTCTGAGAATATTATTACACCTAGCTTGTTTTGGGGGATTGATGGTTATGACAAATGTATCAAATTTCATGTTGGTGATATCTTTTATGTTTCCCGGGAGAAGAGAAAATAGCAATTTTATCTTGTGCTCAGGAGTCACAGAGAGCAGGAATTGTAGGTACATGCCACACAGAGTTTTTAAATAAAAATGCATTGCAGAGCAGCACGTAGTAGAGGTGGGGAAGGGGAGGAAAGTGGGAAAGGAGTGAATCAAAAACTGCAGAGGAGCATTTATTGCATCTCCCAAGGTTTTATTCTAATGCAGCACCACAGAGAGTTATGAATATGTACAAGCTGTATTTTGTTCTGATGTGAGGTGTCTATGAAAAACATAGTCTGCTTAGTTTTTTTCAAGGCATTTGTAGCTTTTTGGGTTTCTATTCAGAATTAACTAATTTTGCAAAGATGATGTTTGCATACATACTTACGTAATTCCTGTTTCTGTGCTGTAAATATTGAAAAAGCAGAGGGGTTTGACTGGATGTCCTGTAAGTCTTATTTAGAGGGAAAAGTTAATCTTGTTATATATACTCACAGCTTTACTCTGAAACTTACTTTAAAAAAGAAGCCAAACAGTTTCAAAAGTTGAAAGACAAGTTTTAAACTAGCAAAGCCACTTCTATTTAGGAGAACTGTTCTCACAAGAAATGTATAACATCTGATTCTGTCTTCCCTGGGACAAATGTTGTGAGTTCCAGAACTGGAAGACGAACCCACAGATTTCTACATACATTTTGCTGACTTCATGGAAAAAAAACCAAACTGCACAAAAATGCCCACAGCAAACCCAACCATTTCTAAATGATTATTAGTAATAAACTCCCAAATGAAGGATAAGGTATGAGACTAAGGAATCATGATTATTGTGATGGCAGTAGCAGTTAGCTCTGATGCAATCTTACGTGTGATTTTTGGCAAGTCACAGTGGGACAGATTTTGTAAAAGAGCCTAACTTCTGTGAAGACACCACACTATGGGACTGTATTTTTAAGGGAGCTCAGCACCCAGTATGTTTATTTGGAGGATCTGGCACTGATTGCTGGTACCAAGTGCTTGAAAATCTGTTCTGAACTCCAAAAATCTGGCTCAGTGAGCATGATCCATGCCTCCTTCCAAACAATGGTATTAATTCCCCTGAATTGAGGGGAGCAAACATGTAATTCTTTACTTCTGACTCTGATGGTAAATGAATTAACCAGATTTTTCTTTTTCCTAGTATTTGGCTGAGTTTTTGTGGTTGCTTCTACTTGTGTGCTTTTTACAAGAAATGAGATACTGCCATGAACATAATAACAATAATAATAATATAAAAGTATGTTGCAAATGAATTTGAAGCTTTGGGGAATAGACTAGGTCTTGAATAAATGCCACTGGAATACAAATTAATGCACATAGTGCCATGATTTAAAGACCAAGAGCCCCAGCTGTCTGCTCTGGTGCTCTCAGGACACAGTTGGAGGCATGCTGCAGTCTCTGGTCACCTGCCTGCTCACACACCCAGGGTCCTCACTGCAGGTCACACCTGGGGGCTGCAGGCTCTGCCCTCATTGTCCCCTGCTGGTGAATAATCCAGCAGTGGTGCTTTCTGCCACCTTTGGAGCAGGTTTGTTTCCTGCCAGCTGGTGTTGTTGGGCTCTGCAGCACAGGCTGTGACATGGCTCTGTGGGCTGTCCGTTGTGAGGAGCAGCACCAGTGCCCTGTGCCCAGCATGGAGATGCTCTGGGGTGCTCCACTCTGCCACTGCTAGCTGTCTGCTTGTTGTGCCAGTGTCACTGGTGTGGGAGGAAATGTGCTAATTAAGTCCTCTTTTTTGTTATTTCAGGAAACCTACCATATGAATATAAAATAGTGATTGCTGGGAATCATGAACTGACATTTGATAAGGAATTCATGGCAGACCTTGTTAAACAAGATTACTACCGCTTTCCCTCTGTGTCCAAATTGAAACCAGAGGACTTTGACAATGTTCAGTCACTCCTGACAAATAGTATTTACTTACAAGATTCAGAGGTAACAGTTAAAGGATTCCGAATATATGGTGCCCCGTGGTAAGTCTCAATTTAAACTTTCTTTGCTCTTTATTACTTGAACCACAGCAGGAATCATTCCTGTTGAATGTGCATGAAGCTGCTTTGTTGCATTGCCCTGCAGAACAGTATCAGCCCTAGCTGTATTTATTCTGAAACAGTTGTTTTCCTTTTATTTTTTTTCCCCTTTTCCTTTTGGATAGATAATCTCTGTTTAGCCACGTGTGTGAAATAAGACAAAAAGAACTGTAACTATGTCTATTCTGCCTGGTGAATGCACTTAAACTGGGTAGTCAATACCGGCCCTGTGCTTGTGGATTAACTGTGGTGGCATTTTGGGATGTATTAGGGAAACTCTATTACATGCTATACCATTGAGCTATTTATATCTGCTGTGCTAATAGATTAGAGTGGTGGCATTTAACACCCACACAGCATAAGGGCACAAGGCAGCAGGTGCTTTAAGCCTTATTTTTATCAGTTCTAAGCATTGTTTTCTTTTGCTTGTAAAATTCTGATTACAAAATTTCAAACCAGTTTTGATCTCATTCCACCCATGTGTCAAGCATGTCATGCAGTAAAGATTGCTGGCCAGTTTTGTGCTAAGGAGATTCTTCCTTGTTTTTTCTACATGTCATTTAATTGTGATTCCTGACATCTTTCTGTGGAGCCTTGAGTAGCACTTGTTCTAAATTCTAGTGCTAAGAACAGCCACAATCCTTTCAGGCTTTTCCAGAGACCTGAACTTGAGTGATGGTGATAATCATTCTGTTGCTTGGCATTCTCGATTGTCAGCAGAAGTACTGAGTGCTAATTTATGCACACCTATAAGAAGGGCTTATTATAAGCTTACAACTTATTTTCGATGTCAGGCTTGCTTTAAAGGTGAAAGTAGGAGAGGAAGGAGGGATGACAGGGGTTGAACCAGGAAATGGGACAAGCCCATACCTGCACTAGGAATTTTTCCCCTTCATCTCAGCTTTGTTGTCTTGGCCTGCAGACCTTGGTGATTAGTGTGACACACACGTTGATGCTTCTGACAATGCTTTTTCCTGGTCATATTGTATGCATTAGTGCTGGCTAGAAAACTGTGATCTAGCTCTGTATCTCACATTCTTGACTTGAGCTACTAATCTTTTAATTTAAGTCATAGCCTTTAGCTACTAGTTTAAATCAGCCTGACGTTGCTTAGCTTAAAAAAAAAAAGTAATGCTCTAAATCCTGCAATATCAGCAAATTGGGAAAGATGATCTTAATTCAGGTTAGGAATCGTCTCCTCAAGACATTTCAAAGTAATTTTTTTTGTACTAGCAGCACAGAAGGCAGGGCCCATAAGGGCTTGGCTGGTGAGGTGGGTTTGAGGTGCCTGCAGGGTGAGGAGCTGAGCAAGGTTTGCTCTAAGGCTGAGCTGGTGCTCAGCTGCTTCTGTAGGTTTGCATCAGACTTGGAGGGCCTCTGCAGGCACCCAGTCATGAGGAAGTGCAGCCGTATTTCCAAATTTATTTGGATCAGGTTTACCTGAACTCAGCTCCTGGAGAACACAGAATCCAAGTCTGGAGGAGAGTGAGTTTGGTGTTCTGCAAGGGAGAACCGTGTGATGCACTGTTACATTTACCTTTATTTGTACTGGCAATATATCATGCTCTTTTTTCTCTTCCATCCCAAATCTATAATGGAAATCTGTCATCCTTTTGTCTCCAGCTGCATTTAGAAGTTCTTTCAATTTGCAGGTGTACACATGGATTTAGAATGTTTGTTCTGGGATATTAAGGGACATCACATCGAGGCACTGAGTTGTCTTAGCTGTAAAAAGTGACTGGCATATGTATCCTGACCTAGTCATGGAAGGCAAACCTGAATTAATCTTTCCTATAATCCATTGATAACTGGATTTTTCCCATTAGTGATGCATGATAAATGAAGCCAGATTGTCAGGAACTGACACTGAGCTCGAACCAAGTGCAGGCTTCTCTCTCTTGAACTTTGCTTCATTTGAGTTTAGCTGTGAAAAATTGTTGTCAGATCATGTTTTGAGCAAGTGTTGGTGTGGAGTTGAGGCTACCATTTTCAATGCAGTGTTTTTGCTCAATCAGCCAGTCTGTGTTGAGAGCAGAGATGTGGTATTTTCCCTGCATTTTTTCTCTCCCCCCCACCCTTTTTTTTTTTAAATAATTACAGTTTCTAGAAAATGTGAAAATTTACTAGTTTTTTGTATTTTACTCTTTCTTTCAGAGGAAGGAAAAGTCCCATCAGATAATAGAAAAATCTGCTCTAATTTTGTTCTGTGCCTGGAAACTGAGGCAGAATGATAAGACAAGCATTTTATCACTTCTTAAATTTTTATACTCTCTCCCCTCCAATCACATCTTTCTCTATTCCTATAAATCTTCAGATTACCCCAGAGGAAGAGAATTTGTGGGGTTTTGTGTGTATTTATGGCCTCCTTACCCCAATTAGTTCTGTCACAGAAATGGAACACTGGTCATTAACCCAGAAGGTGTGCCAACCCTAACATGAGATAAGTTGGCATGTTCAATTTATGTGCAGTTTTATAAGTATTTCCAGAGGGGAAAAAAAAATTCTCATTTGCTGATAAAGCTACTGGTTTTAATTTAAAAAAGAGGGATCAAACCAAGAATAACAGATGTGATTCTGGAGGTTTCAGCCTGTCAGGGGTTTCTAAGAAGTAATTGCCAGAGTACTGGGAAGGCTGGCTATAAGTCATCTCTCTAGAAAATGTAAATTGCCAACTCAGTGTAAATACAGAAAAGAAATATCAGTTCATATTCATTACATGTTATTACTCATGGTACATCTAAAAGCTTTCTAAAGACCAAAGAGAATTCAAGTAGTGCCTCCTAACTTACAATTTAGCAGAATTTGTGAGAAAAAAATAACTTACAATACATGGGAGCATTCATGTGTATTTGCAATTGGAATGTGCGGTGGTGCATAACAACAGCCTCTAAGGAGCAGAAAATTTGAATTTAGCCTGATGGCTCTGAGAGTATTAAATGGCATTAGCTGGAGGGAAGTTGAAAAGAAGAGGATCAGCCCCTAAAAGAGAAAAGTGCAAGGGTGGGACATAAATCACATTCAGAGCTCTGCTCATTTTCTGAGGTGAAGAATGTAACTGACTTTTTCACACCTTAAACAGGAGATTCTTTGATGTACCTTGAAGGAACAAAATGGCTGAAGATTTTCCATTTGGTCTATAGATAACAATCCACAAAAACATTCCCCTCCTTTCTCTTCCTTCTGACTTTGCCCTATGAACCTGGCTTGTTTGGTGGGAAAATAATTGATAGTTTATGCAGTAAAAAATTCTGTAAGACTCTAGTAAAAACATTTTCTCCTTGGGAAATTTGAGATTGAGGTTTCTTATTAAACAGGACAGAAAATAAAACCAGTGATGGATTTATGACTTTTTAAATCTTAAAACTCCCTCTGTGAAGTAAACATAAGCATAACTCATACTGATGGATCTGTGAAAGGGTAAGGAGAGACAGTCTGTTTTTACTGCAGCTTTGGGTGCTGAATATGCATTAGTGAATTAGTGTAAGTTGTACTTAAATTCAAATGCTATTTTAAAATATGTGTTGTTTTTTCAAATTATATTTGAAATTGTTCATCCATGCTAAGGGCTGAATTTACCATAGTATGCTCTAGACATTTGGATACAAATATTCTCACAATGTGTGTTTTCTAATGAAGCTTTAAAAGCATTCAAACCACCAGAGAACTGCAGTTAACTGGAGCCAGAATTTGTTTAAACCACATTTTGACACAAACAATTGTTCAGGGAGAATATTTTTCGCTGCTTTATTTTGTTCTGCTGATCAACTCTATAGGTAACTTTTGTGGATTTTTTCTTGTTTGAAAGAGAAAAGTAGCTGGAAAGAAAAAGTATTCTGATGTACTTTATTTTGTGTGCATTGAAATTCGTGATTCTTAGTTTTATGAATAATGAGGCAATAGCCTTACTTATGGATTTTAAATTCTGTTCTGCATAAAAATTTCACAAAAAATGTCAAAAGCTATAAGTGTAATGTACTCTTAACAAAGCAGTCCTTTACATTATTTTTAGCTATGAATGATTGTGAGCAAATTCCACTCCTATCTAACGGAATGAGAAGTAAAGCTGGAGGTCTGGGACTTTCAGCCTATATATTTGTTTAGGTAGCTGCAGATATATGCATCTTTTTGAAGGAAGAAATGCATAGTGTAAAATCTAAATCAGTATAAATCAATGTATCTTAATGGTTAACAGAATCAGCTTTATGGGGATAACTGAAAAGCACCACAAACGTAAAAGATGACAATCAATTATTTAAATAATGACTGAAATCTGTGATTTGCATCATTGTGATGAAAATTAATTCATCCTGAATGAAGCTGGGAATAAAGCTCTTCCCTCCTGACAGGAACAGCAGCATTGTTCAGCAATATCCTGCACGTTTGTCAAGTTGCAGCTTGTTCGGGTCTCAAGAACAGAAGCACAAAGCTGGCCTCCCAGTTGCTTTTAATGAATACTAGTGGGTTTTTCCTATGTCCAAGAATTTGATCTGTAGGGTGATCCAGAGGTCAAGAACAAACAGCTCACTATCACTCACGTCTGTGGAGCCAAGGCTTTCATTTGCTTTTTTTAGTAACTCTAGAGGAAGTGCCGTAACTCTTTTTTCAGAAGCAAAGTTTTAATTGGCATAGATAATGCAACCTTAAGAATGGAGAGACAGGTTCAGCCACCTCCTTTAAAAATAATATTTTCCTTTTCTTTTTAGCCCAGTGCAAAATTTGGGGTTTCATCAAATGATTTTACATCAGTTTAAAATGATTTCTCTAACTCGGTTTCCTTCTCTTCTTCATTTGCAATGATATTTTAGTACAAGCAGCTCTAAGTTAGTACTTTTCCCTTGTTCTGATCAGTGTTTTCAGACTCTCTGTTTATCCTGTCAGAAAAGTGTCAGAGGGGTTTTTTTCTTTCCAATTATAAGTTTTGTAATGCATCATGGATTTTGCTG